TGTCACTGCTTGAAATTTTTCAAGTTAAAGTTAAACCATGAAGCAGTTTTGGTTTTGTTTGGCTTTACTGATGAACTCTCTATAACCTAAGTACATTTTTTTGATAGTTATTAATGATTTAACTGTGTTACAAACCTACTGTTGTCACTGTAATGCTTTCCTTGGTATGACACATATATAACTGCCTCCCTAATTATTTAAAATTACTTTGAATGGAGACTCTCTACAGGATCTGGCTAGACTAGATACTTAGAGTACTGAACAGTGAATCTCATTCTGTGTTCTAAGCTGCTGAAAATATTCATTTTCAATTTAAATTTGGACTATGGGTTTGCAGATGTAATATTTAAGATGTAATTAAACACAGATTAAAAATTTGATTGCAATTTGCTGTAATTTAAACACCCAAATCCCTGTTCATGACCACTTATTAAGGATTTAAATGTCCGCATACAAATTATACCAAATTCCGTCATAATTTTTTAGAGTTGATTCTCCCCAGGGTTAACTAGTGCATGAAAACTAGTGCTTAACATAGTCACTTGGTGCTCTGAATATTCTTTTATGGTTATTGGTTTAGTACTGATATTATTTAGATATTTAAAAATCCAAAGATGGAAGGAAGAGGGGGGGGAAATCCCTGCTGAGCTCTGGCTTATTTATTTTTTAATATTAATATGCATCTTGTATTTCTCCATTAGAATCAAATCATTGAGCTCCTGACTAGAAATTTTAGAATAAAGTTTGTTACAAAGCAACTTTTTTCTTTAGTTTAATTATGCATGTAAAATTTAAATCCTTTAGAAGATGGCTGATAAAGAACCCCTGACACATACTCTCATATCTGCAGGAACATGAAGATATCACCCACTAACAAAATTCCATCGTTTTCTTATTAAGTGAACATTCATGCTTCTAATTCAACAACTTATTCTCAGTGGATCCTTGCTAATAGTAACCACAGGAAAGGGGACCTGCAGGGAAGTGCTGTATTTCTTTTTCACATTCAGCTCCTGAGTTCTGAATATGTTACTTTTCAGAAAAAAATGAAGCTATTTCTCCCTGGTGAGATTTTTAGCTTCATCATCTGTAAAATCTGCATCAAGCAGCCAGGTAAAAAGAAGTATCAGTAATTTACATTACTGCTATGTGTCAAGCAATGCTGCTCCAAATTTAGGAAACAAAGCTCTGTGACAGAGAAGAAGGAGGTAGTACAGGTTTTTAAGAAGCATTGATTCCCTTGGATGTTGGTTATGCATCACTTGTCTTACTATTTCCACCATTACTTTCCCTATTGTCAGCCTTCCCAGGCTTTCTGCACATTTTCCCTGTCATTTATTCTCCAGAAATTACATGACACTTAATGCTATCCGATCTGAAGTATAACTCTTCATTTTCTTCATGGACCACTTCAGGCTGTCTGCACACTTTACCATGCAAAGGAAAATTCCCCAGTGTATATCAGACATTAATTTTTACAAATCTGTGGAGAGAAAAAATTTTGGGAATAAGTTAGTTTTCTGCTGCAATTCCAGGATCAGCAACAGCTTCATGTACTTGGCTTGGGCAAGCATCCAGTACAGTGAATGAGTGAAGTCTGAGTTGTAGCACCTGCAGACTGAGAAATATTTTTTCTTGTGGTATACTTGTAATGTTTCATGATTTATCTTTTTCTGGACTGCTTCCAGGCATAATCTGCTTATTCTCTGTTGCTTGTTTTTATATTTGTTCACAGACTGCTGTGCTATGAATAAGCTAAATAAGGTCTTGCTGTCCTTTCCATTAATCTGTCAAGCTCTGTGATCTCTCAGTATCCAAAGGAGATCAGTGATCAAGTCAGCAGATTAAAAAGTCCATTTACTTCTCCATGAAAAACTCGTCTCCCTGATTTTCACTGCTATTACTTATGCAGGAAAATTTCTAATCATCAATGAAAATTATTTGTAGATTAAATTATTTAAAAAGACCTCTGTACTTTGAATCAGACCATTTACTGGTATTTTGTTCTGATACCTTAAAAATCTTCACCATTTATTGATGGAATCTCTTTCCTGCCCAGATTTAAAAGAAAAAAATTCATATATCCCCAGTGTCTTGAATGCCACTTCCAATTTAGAATTATCCCCTATCTAAATCTGTCACAAAGATAGATAACCCCACTTAAATTTGAATGGATTTGGGTCTTTTTAATTAAAAAACCCAGGCAAGAAAACACCAAACAAAACCAATATACTACAATTTCTGTAGCTGCCTTGTGCACCTATAGGCCCTGACATAGTTCTTCACCAACAATCATTTAAAAAATTATAATATTGCAATTGTCCAATTTCACGCAAAAATAAAGTGACAGCTTTGTATGAATTATATAAGTAGATTTCAAACACTTGAACCTAATTATTTTTTATTTATTTTATTTTCAGATAATTATAAATTGGGAAAGATCCAGACATAAGATAAGACTTCAGCATCCAGAAAATCCAGATGAAAGGAAAACCAAAATTAACACTATTTTTGTTTAGTAATAAAGATTCAAATAAAGAACACAGAATTAAGAATATGCCAAAGCAGCACCATATTGGAGTTCTCTAGAATAAAAAAAAAAAAAAAAAAAGACCAAATAAAGTAGGACTGGCAGCCTCTGTAATCTGTAATCATTAATGTCTTAAAAGTCTCAAAATCTGAAAGATTTTGTCCTGGCACAATTATCTGTGCAAATGAGAACCCCTGATCCAAAGATATTGTCTTTCAGCTCCTCTAGGTTTTCTTAGGATTTTCTGGTAACTGAAAATGTTTTGGATTCTTCAGCTGAAAAGCACCTGCTAGAATGAGCCAGTGCTGCTTGCTCATTGCTGTATGTTGTATATTAGGTTCCTCTAAAAATTAAGAGGGTGACCAACAGGAAGAACCACTGCAACTTATAATAAATTTGTTTTAACTGCTTTTTCTTTTAGAAGATTTACTGATAGACAGCTAGTCTGGCAACTCCAATACAGTTGTCAGTTTAAAGGAATTTTAAACTGGAATTTTTGGGCTTGACTTTAGCTGTTGTCCAAGTGGGCAAAAAGAAGCTGTGTTCGAGCAGAAAGGTTTGTTTGAAGTAACAGATTAAAAATGTATCTGCAAATCAATGCTTCATTCAGTATAAACAGAAAAACATAAAGATTTCTGTTTGCAAAACTGAAATCATTCAGACAACTCCAGCAACAGAATTAAGTAGTTGTAATATTCCTCCAAAAGCTAGACATAATTTCTTGTTTTGGAAGTAAAAACCACATAAAGGCAAATCAGTAAGGGAATTTCCAGTCAGTTACTTGTTAAACATTTTTCAAGAACAAAGGTATGAGCCCAAGTGGCATTTCTAATGCCTGTATTAAATACTGGAAATATGAAATTGAAAAATCAGACAGGGCAAAACCCTCTTTTCCTCAGGATCAAGAGGGAAAATGCTGTGAGACAGTAAATACTAATTCTTGGAGGGGAATGTTTCTGGACAAAGAACCAAACCCTAGGAATTACTGAGCAGAAGTTGTTCTAGAAAAAGGGGTATGCTATTCCAAGACACTTGTGCACTAGTCTTTCAAAATAATATGCTGAGGTCACACATTTTATGTAATGAAACCACCACAATTTCTGTAAGACATACTCTTAGTAGGAGTAATTTGGAGAGAAGTAAATTTTAATTGCATTTTTATTTTTGCTCTTTTCCCTTAAAAAATTTTTAAAGGGGAAAAAAGTGATAGTTCAATGTTTTGTAGCTCATACATGCTACAAACTCTTTGGTACAATGCCTCAATCAAATTGATTCTTCTCAGATAAAAGATTCTCTCTTATCTTTTCAAGTTTTCCTGTTATGACTTCCTTTTCCTTAGAATGCACTTTTCCTTCAAATCAGGATTTTATATTCCCACTTATCAGTAATCAAACCCAAAGCAGAGTAGAAATTATTCAGATTTATGTTGTGCATTGGACCAGACATTAGATTGTCACTCAGAGAAGCTCTGAAGTCATAGGTGTTTCATAGCAGTTTACCTCAGAAGGCCTCAGAACCCAGGTAAGACAGCAGAATGCTGTGGTGCAGCAGAGATCCACTCATTGAAGCTCACAAGGATAATACAGAACCAGCAGCAGATGTATGGGTCATATCTGTAATCAGTTCTGACTGGAATAAAAAACCAAAATATTGTCTAGTGCACATCTGCCAATTATCATTTCTGTATTTTTTTTTCCCTTTTCAAAATAGTGTTCTTTTTTTCACACTGTTTGTTGGGTTTTGTTGGCAGGTGCATTGTCAAGAAAACAAAATGTCCCTCATCAGGTGAAATTAAGAAACTTCCCATTTGTGAAATACAGTAATATGGGATTCCTTAAAATTAGAGGGTTTTGGGCACATTGCAAAAGGCAGACCTCAGAGACAGCAGGATGGTGATTAGAGCCAAGCAGTAGCTATAAGATTTGTCAGCAGGAAAATTATACAAGAAGTAGAAAGAAAGGACAAATAGAACAATGGTCTGTGTATTAACGCTTGGGTAGAATAACTTCCTAAGTTGCAAAAGAGTATCTCTGGTGAGATATTAGGAAGGTCTAAGCTTAATAATGGAGCTCTGTGCATTGTATCTTGAGGCTTATAAGCAAGTATTGTATTTGAAATAAGCAAGCATTGTTTTGACCAAAGGTATGTATGCTTATTGTGATTGGATAGAACTGTCAATATGCTTTTGCTTTGTGTGATTGGTCAAAAAGTTTATAAAGTAAGTTGTAACATTAAATTCTTGGTCTGTTGCCTGGGATGTGAGCTGCTGGCATCTTCCCACTGTCATAACAGTGTAATGAGACTGATGCTAAATAATAAACAGCTCGAGACGTGTTACACAGCAGCCCCGTCCCGTTTGTGATTTGTACACAGCCCCCAGCCAGTGATACAGGAACTTCCCTTTCCTAGCCACCAGCAGTTTCAAACTCAGGGAGAGAGTACTGATATCTACATCCCTTTATGATGACAGGATGGAGATTTCAGCAGGAGCCCAGACTTTTTCCATGAAGAAGAAAATAGATGTCAAATCTGAATTTTGGAGTCTGCAAGGATTCTGAGTTGGTGCTTTTCAGAAAGGAGCTCAGCAGAATGTGGTAGCAGGTAAGAACTAGTTTCACAGAAAATGTATTGCATTTTTGAGAGGCATGGGCATAAAGCTCTCACAAGAAATCACAGGAATCTCTTCAGACCTGCAAATATCATTGGGTTTTGAATGTCAGGTGATGGCAACTACAGATACAACTTCACTTTATATCTCCCTAAATTGCTTTCTCTATAGAGGATCTCAAGGTTGTTCACATGAAATTAAGTACAGTGTTGTCAAGTCTAAAAAATCCTACAATATCTCCATTTTGTTTAATTTTTGGGTAAAAGTTTCTCTATCACAGTCTTAATAATTTTATTTTTCTTAAGGTACGCATAATTTCTCCTTTAGAGAGATGTAAAGGACGTGGAGTATTATATTTGCAGGGAGTTACAGGGAGTTGTTTCAAGGTCTGGTTTTGTTTCTGCATTCTGGAGGGATAAGGAGAAGGGGCTTACTGATAACAGAGAGAGTTTTCAATTGAGGCAGTATCAAAAAGTATCTTCATAAACCTCATTCTGAATTAGTGATATGAAATGTGGCTGTCATACCTATCAAGAAGGCAAGCCTTGCCTGTTATTCCTCTAATCACCAAAGAATCTATTCAGTGTGAGAAAGTATTAATGCAATTATTTATGCTACTATGTGTTGAACAACTTGTGTGGAACTACCATTACATTTTTGTAACATCATGTTTTGGAGATCGTACTTTAGTAATAAAATCTATGATGTTCAAAGTGAATTAGAAATGTAAATTACACTTTGTTATGACAGAAAAAGAGCTCCGTGTTATATAGTTTTGACCTGCCTATGTATGTTTGAAGTTTAAATGATCATAAAGTATATACTGATCTGTATTACTTATACTTTCCTGCCTGGCATTTGAAACTTCAAGCATAAACCTAATTTCTTTGTGATAAATACAGACTTTGAGTAGCATAAATTAAACAACAGCTATTTAGTATATAAAAATATTTTTTAAAGACAGAAAATCACTGATGAGTTAAAAATTACAGAGTGATGACAGTTTTAATTTTGAGAGAATTCCTTCTGTATTGTTACTGTTTTTCTTGTGTTTCCTTCTGTTACTACAGTAGTATATTTATTTCTCAAAACAGATATGCCAATTAGGGAAGATTTAGCCACCACTGAGCTAAAATGTACCCCACTGAGTTACAGTGGTATTTCTGTTGTCATAATATATCAAATATGCATTTGAACAATTAGTAAAAATTGCAGTAAACATTTTCAGTCTTTTGGTTTATTAGATGTAAATTAAGAATACACTAGATTAGCAAATCAAAATATTTAGCAGTTAAGAGAACCACAAAATTAGGTTGTATATGAAAGGCCTTCTCTTTGTCTTTTAAAAATAAGTTCTTAAAAACTAAAACCTAGAAGAAGACAGTTTGTAATGTACCAGGAAAAAAAATATTAGTTTGGATTTTTCTTCTGTATTTTGTGTACAAATGTTTTGGGTTTTTTTCCTGTTCAACCCATCAGACAAAAAGACAATAAAATGATACAAATCTGCTGCTTGAGGTCAGCCCATCAGATGAAAATTGAGCTCAGGGAATTAAGAGGAAATTCTAAGCATTGTTTTTTGTACATCTACTCAACTTACAGTTTTTGTACTGAAAGTTTTTGTATTGAAGTGACCAAGAGTACAGGCAAAAAAGGCAAGGTAGGACTAAACATGGGAGAGTTAAGTTTCCTCTGCTGTTGGAGAACTGTGAGTGTATGATTGAGATGTGATTGACATAAACTTAGTATTTTTCTTCCTTTTCTGAGTGCCTGCCCTTCCCCAGAAATTTTCACCTTTTTCAATCCTACAGAGGAGTCGATCCCCTCTTTCAGGATGTTTAATGAATAATGGTTATTAACAGCTGCACATGCTTATTGTACCATGTAAGGTTTTCTTTAACTTTTTCCTTGGAAAAGACTCACCTTGGAACAACAGAAGCTGTCCCCTATTAGCAGCAGAATTCTCTCATGGACCTGTGTGTGACAACTCTGCAATGGTTTAAGGCCAGCTGGCAACTGAGCACCACATCCCCCCACCACCTGCAGTGGGGAATCTGAAGGGTGAAAGATAGAAAATTCATATATTGAGATAAAGACATTTTAATAGGGTGAGCAGAAGCTGCACACACAAGCAGATCAAAACAAGGAATGGATTTACTGCTTTCCATGGTTGGGCAGGTGTTCAGCCATCTCCAGGAAAACAGGGCTTCATCCCACATAACAGTGTCTTAGGAAGACAAATCATTCCACGTGTCCCCCCCCCCCC